AAGTGTTCAGGTCGGTCCGGAGACCGGGTTCGAGCTAGGATCAGAAGAACACTGTTGTGCATATTCTTGCATAAACATTTGGCGCCGTCTGTGGGGATTACGACAATCTAAGTCATCCCAATTCTTTTGAATAAAAACGCGAGCGAAAATGGTTCAACCAGCCAACTCGACCAATACGGCAGATCGCAGAACTCTAGCTGCCGACGATGCCCACCAGAAGGAGGTCAGAGCAGGGGTGGTAGAAGGGCAAGGTCACGACAGCCTAATAACGGAACCTCTCCTCAGGTCGGCACGAATCACCACGCATGTTCTACCACCGGCGCACCCAAGGCCATCCAAGGCCAATCGTGGCCGAGGTGGGACTTTTAAGAAGGGCACCCAGGGCGCCCAGTCCCAACTCCAACGAGTGAGAATTTTAACGCACTCCAGAGAGAAATGGAGACAATGCGCACGCAAATGCGATCCATGGAAGAAATGTATAACAAAATGGTACAAGCTGCAGGCGCAGGATCCCGATCTGAAAACCGGGTGACGCGCGTGGACATACGTGAACAGAGGGGTTCCCACCTCGGCCCAGTCGAGGAGGAGCATCTCGAAGAAAATGAGGGTGAGGGGTACACTCACCAGAGGGGAGACCTCCGTGAGCATCTTAACAGAAAGAGAGACTCATCCCTCCGAAAAGGACAGTCACCATCCCGCTCGCACAGAAGCTCCAACCAGCAGGTTGAGTCTTCTCACAACCCAGCAACTCCCAAGGGATGGTCATGAGGGAGGAGTTCGACCAGCTGAGGAGCAAGCTCGATGCTCAGGTTGAGGCCTTAAAGGCCAAATGTGAGCAGAAAGAAAGTCCACTAAGCGATGAAGACCTGGGAGAATCACCATTCACCTCGGACATTCTGGAGGCACCAATCTTTCCGAAGTTCAAAGCTCCTACAGTGAAACCTTATGACGGGTCAAATGACCCTAAGGATTATGTTGAGGTCTTTGAGGGCCTCATGGACTTTCAAGCGGCATCAGACGCAATCAAATGCCGCGCCTTTCAGATCGCGCTTACTCCCAGCGCGCGTTTGTGGTATCGGAGGTTGCCAGCCAGGTCAATCTCGACCTACCCTCAGCTGAGAAGGGAGTTC